CAACACATGTGATTTCATATGACAAGTCCATTAGGAAGGGACACAGGATGAGAAAGAAAAGAGAGGAGGAGCAGGGGGAACATGAATTCAAGAGAAGGTCCAGAAGGCCATGGGAAAGCTTCAGATACAGGAAACCAGAGTCAAGGGTGGGGCTGGTATGAGTTGGCTGGCCCCGGGGAGAGCACCAGGCTCGGCATACCTACCATCTTGCAACAGTCTTCTTCAGATGGCTCTGCTTAAAACAGAGGATAGAAACACAAACAAGTGCTGGGAGTTTATAAAGACTGAATGCTAATATGTGAGTGATGACCATGAGTTTAGATACATTTCTCCCCCCAAATATTAAAACAGAAAATCTAAACACTGAGGCTTTTCTTCAGCTCTAACCCAGCCCCTCAGGGTTCCGCGGTTCTGTTTATAACTAACAGATGAAGAGCAGAGACTGTGGGCTTTGCTGGGCCCATTAACTTAGTCTAATTATTTTGGGAATTTGGTTTTTTTCCCCAAGAGATTAATCACAGATGAACGATGCCAACTTACTTTATGATTTTTCCCTTTGCTTGTTCTGCAGGAAGCACGTCCAGACCTTCACCAACTTCACGGTTCCTGAACTTTTCTTTAGGGACAGCAGCTACATCATGTAGCACCAGGCAGTCTTGGAGTAATGCTGTATTGCCACAGTGAAACAGGAATTCATATTCTCACTCTAGAGAGGGCTGTATCTTGGTCATCAGCACCCACAAAGCTGGGGTGTCTTTAGTTTTGATACAGACACTGATCTTTTCTCAATCTTCCATAAAAATGAATCAAAGCATTTGTAGAATTTGATTTTTTGCTGTTTCTTTTTAAAATGCAATACATTCTAATTTGAAGTAATGGGTTTGTTATGCAACCTGGATTTAAATCAAGTTTGCAAACACCCTTTTATAGCCAGGCTGCAACCCCTAATGCTGAAATCCAAATTGCAGATTTGGTACCGTTAATCACAGCTGTCTCTTGTTAGCCGTGCACTTTGTTGTCTTCCTCACTTTTGTCAACCTCAGTTTCTTCTCCTGTAAACATAGACTTACTACACCTATTTCCTGAAGTTGTGAATATTAAATAGATAACCTATAAAGCACGTAGCAGAGTGTTGGGCACACAGTGATTGTTCAGTAAATAGTTCTGATAGTAATTAATTAGCAGTAATACCAAAGTCAGAAATGAGGGATGATTATGTCAAAATTTGACTCCAGGTAAGACTAAAAAGCCTAGAACTCTGCCTCCCAGCAGAGTAAAAGACTCAAGACTTGGTTGTTCCCTAAAAGGTGAGTTAGGGAATGAACTTTAAAAGAACAGTGAAAAAATGAGTGGAATAAATGGAAAAGAAGAGGAAAAGAAAGGAGTACTAAAGAGTAAGATATGGGGGGAGGCTTTGAGATTTGATAAGCAGCTAGGAGGGAGAAGGTGCTTCTTGTTAACATGTAACCTCTTGGTTAACCCACAGCTGTGAGTCAGATCTTTCTCTAAAAGTGGGAATTCTGATTTAGATTGAGGGAGAGAGTTAGACTCTGTAACCCCCTCTTATCCTGAGAGACTGCAGCCTTTTGTTCCCTGTGCCCAGGGCACTTTGTACAGTTATCTTGCTTTACTTCGGATTTGTTGATTTCAAATAAGAGAAACAGAATCAAAATCGACTTAGAGAGGGAAAGGGAAGGTACTAACAGGGATTGTATTCTAGCGAAAGCTTTCTTTTTCCTAAGAGTAAAAATGCATTCAAGACAAGGGGAATTCATATTCACATTCCCTCCCTCCCTCTCTGCCCCCACCTCTCTCTTGCTATGTAACTTTTGCTATGTATCTGTTTTCCTCTCCCCTCTTTGCAAAAAAAGCTATCTGCTTGCTCTTCAGGATGCAATGCCCCAAAATGAGCGTCCCCTACCCAAATGTCTGCCTTGGCTCCCAAGTTTATGAGACTTCACAGGCACAGATCCTATTGCCCGTTAACTCAAATTGGGCCCAATTCCAAAATCTTGGGAAGGAAATCTGATTGCCCCAGCTAAGTCACGGGATGCTCATTGGTTTTAGCTGCTCTGAGAAATGACCCCACTGTGGAGGTCAGTCTCTCTCTTCAGGCAGGGGTTGAATAAAGCCATTCTGATACTATCCTTTGCTGCCATTAGCTGCATCTCTCCTACACCAGACTGAGTCCTTCATCCATCAAAGCATCTCTTGTGCCTAAAAAAATATCTTAAGGATTCATAGTATTTGGGGAACTGAGATGACACATAATGCAACAGTATCACATGTCCATATAAATCTTTATAATTTACACTATAGTTTTCCCACTGTGATCTTCATAACCACAGTGAGCATTAAGTAGTATTATTACCTCCATTTAATAGTTAAGAAAATGAGACTAGTCCAAACTCACTTTGTTATTAAGTAGCGGAAACAGATTTTACATTGAAATACTCTGCCTTGAAATTCTAGCATCTGACTAGAAGATTGCTAAGGATCCTTCTGATCCTAATAGTAACTAGTGCAGGGATAGTAATATCATTGTGCTTTCAAAAACCCCCACATCCGTGTGCTTCTTGGTAATTATTTCCATCTCCTTCCTGATTTTAGCTTTGTATCATTATATGGCAAATACTAAGTTGCACTTTAAAAAAAAAAAAAAAAAACAGCCCATAGGTCTCATTTTGTCAAAAATACGTTTCATTGGAAAACAGGGAGAGTGGAGAGGAATTGAGAATTTCACAATAAAAGGAGAAAGGCTCATAAAGTGCTGTCTGGAGCTGTCCTTAATGAGAAGCATCAGATTCTGCTCTTGAGGCCATCTGGGATGGGGGTCTGAGGATCTGGCTGAGGTTTCTAGTATAACTCTAGTTGCAGGCTGCCTTGGGCACCTGCAAGAGCGGCCCTCTGTTGTTGAAATGTCAGGAATGCCTTTTATTTCTTTTACAGTCTTAGGCCAGGCTCTTGGGTGAGTTACTGTGTTTGAGTAAATCCTGACCTAGGTTTTCAACTTTCCTCCCCGCGGGAGGCATTGCTCTGGAGAATTGACCTCTTTTGGAGGTGACTCCTTCTTAGGACAATAAATGTAGTACTACTTATTGATTATTCTGCAATGTGTCAAGCAGTTAGAAAACAGTTTAATAATATTTCATTCTCCCAACCACCCTATGAGATAGGTAATATAATCTCTGTTTTATAGATTATTTTATAGATAAGAACACTGAGGCTTAGAAAAATAAAGATCCCATAGCTAATAAATAACAGAACTGGCATTTAATGCAGATGTGGTTGGCCACAAGGTACATGCTCCTAACCACTGGATTCAGGCACTCCTAAGCCTGGATAGGGCACTGAGGAGCAGAAGCTAGATCTGAACCCAATCCTATCTTATTCCAAAACCTGTGCTTCAAAGACAACACTCTGCTTTTATATGCTTTATATATCTGGGTCCTGAATAATATATTATTCATAAAAATCTTCAATACTGAAAATAATTATCATAATAACTTTGAAACACACTCCAGGGAGAATGCTGGACTTGGGACTTCCTCCAATTATTTCTTCCCCACACCCATTCATTTCCCCTTCCTCATGGGCATCCAGCTGACCAACTGTCCCAGCCTCCCCTGTGGTGCTATGTGTGACCATGTGACTGAATTCTGGCCAATCCGAGGCAGGCAGAAAGAAAAAAAAAATACCGGATGGTCTCACTCATAGCAGGAATCTAGAAAACTTAAATAAGGTACCAGGAAAAAGAATAACTATAAGAAAGAAAAAATCAAAATCAACAAACAACTATGAACCAGAGACACACGGAGGGGGGGTGGGGAAAAGAAGGATTGCGGGGGTCAAAATAAGGGGGTTTTGGGCCTCCCCAGTGGCGCAGCGGTTGAGCGCTGGGTTGCGAAGCTGCCTGCAGCCTCTGCAGCGCCGGTTTGATCCCCGGCTGCTCCCCGGCCACCGGAGGAGGGTCCCGCATGGCGCACAGACCTCTCCTGCCGCTCACTGCTCCCCTCAGCAGTGTACTTCGGTCCTTCTGCCTGCTCTGCTCCCCGCTCTGGCTCTGGTGAATTCTCTCACCCTCCCGCGCTTCTGACTGTACCCAGTGCTTGTACAAATAAATAAATAAATCTTTAAAAAAAAAAAGAAGAATGCTTATAAAAAAAAAAGGGGGGGTTTCAATTGTATGGGAAATATAAAAATAAAATAAAAAAAAGGATTAAAGTGCACCACACCCAAGCCCTGTCCTTCACTTTCTCTTGTCTGCTGGTTGGATAGCTTCTTCCTCAGGGCGCAGCCACTTGCTGAAGATGGCAGAACCTCCATCAGGCTGGCCCCTGAGACTGTGAAGCAGAGCTCTCAACCCCACACCCTCCATCAGTTAGCCTTTGCGTGATCTAGAAAGAAACGTCTGTTTTGTTAAGTCACTGAAATCTCTCAGTTAATGCACAGTATAGCCTCTCCTGCTGAAACTTGTGGGTGTAAATAAAAGGCTCCTGCCTAAAGCAGGCCTTACTTCAAAAGGATGCTTATACCATATTATTCCGAGGTCTAGTCCATGACCTCATTTACTTCTATATCAAGATCTGGGACCTCTTGACTGCCACGATCCCAACTCTGTTATAAGACAAATTATTTGTTTTCTACGTAACTACCAATGTCGATAAGTACAAAGGCCTCTCTCTATTCTTGCTTAGAAGAGATCTTGTGATCATTTAATCATTGCCTCCTGGATTTTTGGCCACATAATTTATTATCCTCGGTCTATATGTAATTTTCTACCACCTTGAATCAGACTGGGGCAGAGAGGATTCCATTATTCAGAAATATTTCTTGGAGAACATTAAGATTCATTAGGCCAATTCCCTTATTTTACTTATGGCAAAGTAGAGGCCCAGGAATTCAGTCACTTACTTGGGTACTCACTACATTTGGGGGAAGAGGAAGCACTGGGTGAGGTAAGTGAGGCACCTTTGGTACACAGGTGAAGGAGGACTCACCTCATGTCCTATGCTGAGGAGAGAGCCCTCTGACAAATTCTTTCTTTTTTGTAAGAAACAGCAAAGATTCAGTTGGGTGGTTTTCTCAGTCTACTTCCCACTCCTAGAAACTCAAGAGGAAGGAGACGTTTCATTTTGAATTGTCTCAGTCGGTTTTAGTTCATGCTGCTAAAACTCCCTTAACATCTCTGTGCTGTATTATAGTCCATTAAACAAAAGCTACAGCCAACATTCCTTCCAAGACAGGTAGACCTCTTGCCTGACTTACTCATAGATCAGTTTTCTGTGGAACATCAACCTGAAGATTCTTAAAAAAACTTTTGTGTAGCTGAGAGGACTTACTAGGTTTAAAGAAAATATCTCTTGTATTTCTCTTTACTCTGACAATACTACCACACTCACACTTCTATACCAGAGGTGTTTTGCCTATACCAGGCAATTCCGTGATGCTAGCTGGATGTCCTATACTATCTACCTGGAGAGAACCTCAATCCCACAGTTTAAGGGCTCTGTCCCATGAGACAGCTCCCCAATTCTGATGCCAACCACAACTAGTAGGTCATCAGGCTTCCCACAGCTTTTGTCTGACTTGGCTACCAACTGGAGGCTTCCATGACTTCCTCCCTTAGGATTCCATTCTTTGCTAGAATAGCAGACAGAACTCAGGGAAACACATTTACCAGCTCACTAAAGGACATGACAAAGGACATAGATGAAGAGTCAGAGGAAGAGATACAGAAGGGAAGGTCTGAGAGGGTATCCAATACAGGAATTTCTGTTCTCATGAGGTTGGGCTACATCACTCCTTTGGTATGTGGATGGAAATCACTGAACCGAAAGATCTCTGTATTACTGGAATTTTATAGAGGCTTCCTTCGTGTAGGCAAGATAGAACATTAACTCCATTTCTAGCTTCTCTCCCCTCTCTGGATAATGGGGGGTAGGGCTGAAATTTCCAAGCTTCTAATCATGACTTGGTCTTTCCATAAACCCACCAATAGTCAACTCATTGGAATGAAAGACACCGCTATCTCCCAGAAAATTCCAAAGATCTAGGAACTCTTTATCAGGAACCAGGGTCAAATATCAGGATAAAAGATGCTCCTAGTGCTCTTATCCCTTAGGAAATTACAAGGATTTTAAGAACTCTGTGCCAGGAAGAAGGCATAGAGACCAACATATATATATTTGCTATATCTTACACTTGGTATCACCTTAAATATTTCAGAAGTCTTAACAAAAAGTCAGTCTTATCCTTGAGTTGTTCATTGCTATGAGTCATTTCTTATTTTGAGATTTTCTGGACCTTTGAAGAGACAGAAAATGTAAAACTATCTTATTCTCAATCTAGCAAGTCATGACCCCTAAAATTTCCTTTAAATTCCTCTTGAAAAGAGAAAATCTCCTACTTTAGCTCATCTCTGTTATCACTAAAAGCACCCAATCTCTCTAGGCAGCTTAGCAGTTAATTTCTTTAGCAATTATTTTGCTGCTACATAACATGGGTCATCATTTTTCTAAGCTATGACATTACTGTCCTCAGTGGTTTTCCAGTCTCCAATAATGATGTACTCATCATTTTTCCTGTCTTTGTTAAGTTTCCCCATTTCTCTTACAGCTTCTTAACAGTCCCAAAGCCAATGCTTTAAATTTCTGTAACAGCTAAACCCCATTTCTGGTACCAATTTATGCATCAGTGATCTATTATTGTGTAACAAACCACCCACTTACTGATTTACATTTTTAAAAAATTTCTTATGATTCTGGCTTAGCTGAATGTTTTTTTCTGACCTGGGTTGGCTGGAGTGGGGCTGCAGCATCACTAAGAGCCCCAGCACACATATCTGGGGCTGAGTGGGAACCACAGGCCCCTGGGTCATGCGTCTCTAGCATCTAGCACACTAGTCCAGACTCCCTCGCAAGCAGGCTGGGTTCCCAAAGCAGCATCAGAGGGCAAACCCTTTCCCACTATCTGTTAGCATTTCATTTGCTAACTCCCAAGTGGACAGAGGAAGTGCTATGGCCAAACCCAGGTTCAACAGCCATGAAGAAAGGGACTTGATGATAGGGATCTGCAAAATATGTGACCATTCTGAAAATGTGTATTATAAGGTAAGCATTTTTTTGGGTGGATTTCTTATCTCATGTATGTGTAGGGGGCTGCTGATTGTTAAGTGTTATGAATAATCTTATAGTCAAGTTCGCTGGGTCATGGAGTACCTAGATATGTGGTCAAGCATTATTCTGAGAGTGTCTGTGAGGGTGTTTCTGGATAAGATGAACATTTGAATCAGTAGACTGAGTAAAACAGATTGCCCTCCCAAATGTGAGTGGGCCTCATTCAGTCCACTGAAGACAGGGATAGAAAAAAAGGCCGAGAAAGAGGGAAATTCTGCATAATTGCTTGAGTTGGGACATCATTGTTCCTCTTTCTGTCGGGAGCTTATACTATATGCTTTTCTGGTTCTCAGGCCTTCAGATTTGACTAGACACTAATGACTCTTCCAGGTCTCCAGCATGTAGACTTCAAGTACACGGACTTTTCAGCCTTCATAATTGTGTGAGCAAACTCCTTATAATAAGTAATCAATCTAACTGCCATCTATATCTTATTTATTACATATAGGATATGTATGTATTAGTTATTTATAATTTGATATGTGTATATATGTATATCTCTCTATATCTCTACCTCTCTGTCTACTCTATTGGTTCTATTTCTCTGGGGGAAACTTGGCTAACACATGCAGTATTCGTGGAGCAGTGGTACAGTTTTGGGGAATCATAATGCTTAACACTGATCAAGTGATACCCCAGGCACTGTTTTTAGTGCTTTACTTCTTTTTTTTTTTAAGATTTATTTATTTATTTATTTATTTATTTAGTTATTTATTTATTTATTTATTTATTTATTTATACAAGCACTGGGTACAGTCAGAAGCACAGGAGGGTGAGAGAATTCACCAGAGTCAGAGCAGGGAGCAGAGCAGGCAGAAGGACCGAAGTACACTGCTAAGGGGAGCAGTGGGTGGCAGGAGAGGTCTGCGAGCCATGTGGGACTCTCCTCCGGTGGCCGGGGAGCAGCCGGGGATCGAACCGGTGCTGCAGAGGCTGCGGGCAGCTTCGCAACCCAGCGCTCAACCGCTGCGCCACCGGGGAGGCCCACTTCTTTTTTTTTTTTTTAAGATTTATTTATTTATACAAGAACTGGGGTACAGGCCAGATGTGCAGAAGGGTGAGAGGATTCACCAGAGACAGAGTGGGGAACAGAACAGGCAGACTGACTGAAATACACTGCTGAAGAGAGCAGCAGGAGAGACAGGAGAGGTCTGCCATGCCATGTGGGATTCTCGCTGGCTGGCTGGGATCGAACCTGCGCTGCAGAGGCTATGGACAGCTTCACGGTGCTGCGCTCAACCGCCTGTGCCACCAGGGAAGTCCCTTTAGTGCTTTACTTCTAATAACTCATTTAATTATCATAACAATCCTATGAGGTAGACATTTTGAATGTGCCTATTTGTAAAGGTTGAACTGTGCCCAAGGACACACAGTCATCAATGACAAGATTGACAACAACATCTGGACAGTCTGATGATAGAACTTGTGATCTAATAACTACACTTGTCTGATTTCATAATAGGAAAAGGAAGAGTGGGGGTTAGGTGGAAGAGAGAAGGAAAAAGATAAGAGGAAAGGAGCTAAGAGATGAGGTAAGAGAGGCCTGCAGGGTCCAAAACATAACCAACATTGTGAGCTGCATTGCACCCTTTGGGGGATACCTGTACACTACACATACTCTACCAGATGTTCTCTAAGCTCTGTAGGTGCACATTTAACTCCTCCCTCTGGACTCTAGTTGGTTGAAGTGGATCCAACCTGGGTCAATAATAATCTTTCAGGAGTTGGGAATTAGAACTGAGAGAATGCAGATTGGTGAGGGGGTTACATCCTTCTTAGCAAAAATCTGAGAAAAAGAAAGTGTACATGCATGAGAGAGTAGAGAAGGTGGGTGAAGAGTTCCTGAGACACCTTTTGTTCTCAGTCGCATCAGTTCCCTAAATTCCAACTCTTTGAGCCTATGAGGCTTCCCTACAGTTCCATTTTTCTGCTTATGTGAGAGTCTATAGACAAGTGGCACTTATAAGCCAAAGTATTAGGTAATTTTATCCCCTAAAAAAAGTTTAAACTTAAATGAAGGTGGTAGAATCCCTCAGAACAATTTAAAAACAGGGAAGAAGAGAAAGGGGTAGAACTGTTTTTTTCTGGAAATTACATGGAAGCTTATTTGTGCTCAAAAGAGTATGAGAAACTTTTTAGTGTTCACACTGCCTAAAACCCTGTCTAAATTGAGGGTTCCCTGACACTTGAGTGGCATAAGCCCAGAATAATCAAGCACATGACAGAGGGAATTAAAACTCCAGTCAGGGGCCTCCCCTGGTGGTGCAGCGGTTGAGAGCTGGGCTGTGAAGCTGCCCATAGCCTTTGCAGCGCCGGTTGGCTCCCCGGCCACCAGCGTGGGTCCCACATGGTGTGGAGACCTCTTCTGCCACGCCCGCTGCTCCCCTCAGCAGTGTATTTCGTCAGTCTGCCTGTTCTGTTTCCCTCTCTGGCTCTGGTGAATTCTCTCACCCTCCCGCGCTTCTGACTATACCCAGTGCTTGTATAAATAAAATAAAAAAACAAAAACAAAAACAAAAAAACCTCCAGTCGGGGCAGGAATTAGACTAGGCTGTGACTCCCAGGGCTGCTTCTACCTTGGGGTTGTGTGATTCTGTGACTCTGGATTCGAGTCTGGACATTTTTCTGCCAGGACTTTGTTTCCTATGGGGAAGGCATTCATGGTTTAGAAGGCACAATTATACTAGCCACCTTGCTTCAGAAGGAGAGCTGCTATGAGGAGACAGCTGGCTTCCGAAGGCCCTGCACACTGAGGACTGAGGCATGAACCAGGGCTTTTCTTGTCTGGATAAACAATGTTTCTCCCCTCTACTTGTCAGGATGAGCCAGCCAATTCCTTGGGCATGTTAATGAGCTTCTCTCTGGTAAAGTCTCCAGGCACCGTGCCCCTGCACAGCAATTAAGACTCAGGCTGTGTCTGAGAGCCTGATGACTAGTTTCTGCTACTCTACATACCCTTGTCTATACTTCCTGCCTCTCTCCACCCTAGTCCCCACCAGAACTGGTGTTTTGAGTCCTAAAAATCACATTACTTATTAATAAAGACATACAGAAAGCCTGAAGAAAATAGAAATGATTTAAAATCCTATTACTCAGAAAGAGCCACCACTCAGTTTTTTTGGTAAACTTAAATCTCTCACTCTTTCTTACTCTCTTACACACACACACACACACACACACACACACACACACACACACACACACACACACAAAATAATTGAATGATCTTATCCCTTGAGTTTCTCCGTAAACTGCTTTTCCACATAATCATCTCCTGGACATGTTTTCATGTTGATAAACATGGACCGACCTTACTAGGTCACCTCTTTTCCCTTCCTGATGGTTTCCCTGCTTCATTTGGATTGCCACAGACTTTCAGCCCAGTCAGTCCAGCCGACTTCCTTGCCTCCCAGACATCAATAATTGAACAAAAGCCTCCACAGACTCACGGCTGGGCACCGCAGTGGCCGCCAGCAGCCCAGAGGCTGCCCTGTTTTCCTTAGCCACAATCTTCCTGCTGAGGCTTTGGAACGAGCAGCTGCTGGGGAAATCACATTGACAGAAAGTGACAACAGAAATTTCTTTTGGCTCCTTGGCTGGCTTGTTTCACTCCTACTTTACGGAATTCTTGGTTTGTCTTTAATTAGCACCCAGAGCTTCAGAGCTTGGCTGCGGCTGAGAGGACGCCATGCTTCAAACAATTTGTCAGGGAAATTTAGGATCATTAGTACAAAAGACACTATAGAAAGAAGAACTAAATGCAACTTTGGACTCAGACTCTTGCCAATGAAAGTTGTGGTTTTTAAGGCAACAGGAATGGTGCCTGATTCACAGGGATGGTGCCTGCTGGGTGGGCCTGCCGTTGGCGTCTCCACTGGAATGTTTGTCCTGATGGGGGCCTGACCCCCTTCTCCTTCTCCCCAGAGGTTTTTCTTAAAACAACAATCAATGCTTCATCTCTGGGTTTTTGTTTTTCTTCTAGTTGCAGGCAATAAATAAAGAACATGTTTTTTCAACCTCTGCTCTATTGATATTTGGACTGGATAATCCTTTATTGTGAAGGACTATCATGGGCATTGTAAGATACTCAGAAACATCCTGGTTTCTACCCACTTAGGTGCTGGTAGTGTCCTCAGTTTTGATAACCAAAACTGACTTCAGATACTGTCAGATGTTGCTGGGGGACAGAGCTACCCCAGAATTGAGAATCACTGGTATAGAGGGGTAAGCACTGCAATAGACCAACCTGGATTCAAGTGCTAGCCCTGAACTGGACTTAATTGTGTTACCTTAGAAAAGTTATTTTTCACATTTGTGGTCCTATGTTTTCTCATATTTACAATGGGGGAAAATAGCAGTACCTACCACAAGGGATTGGTGAGAGGATTAAATAACATGAGGGAAATAAGTTGGGTAAGAAAGGGTTCAGGGAATTATCCAATTTTATTTTTCACAGTTATTCATTGAGCTCATTAATGTCAATATCACCATTCTTCAGATGAGAAGACAGAGTGTGGATGCCGGCTTACTGCCTTGAGAAGTAAGTGGCCTGTGCTGTTAGTCTCTGGGTTGTTAGTGTGCTGAGATACCAGTTCCCTCAACCAGCAGCAGTGAGCAGAGCCTAGAGGGCCAAACCCATGCACTTGTTGTCTTGGTTTACCCCAATATGCTTCACAGATATCATCGTTTTCTCTGAGTCAGGTTGTAACTGAGAGTCCTTTTATATCTCCAAATTGTCATACAAATGGAAGGCTAGCCCTGAGAGGAAGTAAATGCCCAAGGCAGATGTTTGTTTATTCTATAGGAGCTGGAACCTTTAAAATTCCTTTGTCTGTTTAAGATTTTATGCAGCCAACATCTTATGAATGAAGATGCTGATAAACAACATTGATGAGAGAAGAAGGTAGCTAGATTTGAGCAGTTGGGGAGGGTATAAGACTCCAAGACAAACAAGTAGTCAGGGCAGCTTGCATTGCAAATTGTTCTCCTGGAAGGACACGTCATCTCTGAGCACGCCCTTCCCTTTCACTCCATCCCCAACTTCCAGAATCAGGACTCAATCATGGGTGAATAAATGAATGAATAGTGACAAGTATAGCAAAATATTAACATCAGAAATCTCAGTGATAGGTGTATGTATGTTTACTGTAAAAACTATATTGTTTTGCTATATGTTTGAAATCTTTCATAATAACAGTATTTAATCTCTGGAAGAATGGGAGATGAGGTAAACCAAAGAAATATCCTAAGGCCAGAGACCATGCTGCAGGTTTGACAGGCCTCCAGGTCTCTTCTCACTCTGACCTATTGGACGTCTCAGTCAGGCAGATGCTACTGGGCTATGGCGCTCCCAGTTCAGCACCCTGTCTGTGGTCTTGGGGTGTGGGGTGGCCTGAAGAAGGGGAAGGGAGCACAGAGACAAGACTCACTGGCTCATGCTCCCAAAGGCTACACTTTGATTTCTGTGTTGCCTCATTTCTCCTTCTTCCATCTGTCTCCCATATGTGCAGAAGTTCCCTGGAAGAAGCAGCTGCCCCGGACATGGTTCCCTGCTATGGGCCTCTTTCTTCACGTCCTATTTCAGCTGGGCTTCAGGCCATTAAAGGCCCCATCCTGGTTTCTAATGCAGACAGTGAGATACTAGAATAACCAGGTTGCAGTAGTCATTAAAGTTCCTGCTGATTTACCTATTCATTCCTTCTCAGATGGATTTGCAGCTTTACTAAGAATCCAGTAGAATATATTTTTGAATTTTAAACTTGAAGATGTTAAAAAAATTTCGAATTTTTGTTGAAAGCAAAGCATGTCTCATAACACCTTCATTCTAATCTGTCATGGTCCTGTCAGTAGTTATTGGTTGGTACAGGTTTGAATCCCAGCTCCACCAACTGTTATCTGTATGACCATTGGCCTGTTCCACAACTTCAGTAAGCCTCATTTTCCTCACTTGTAAGGTAACAATTACTGCTTAATGTTGTTTGAAATAAGAAAATCATGTGTGTAGAAGTATTTGTATGATGCCTGGCTCTCAATTAATGGTAGTTATTCATATCATTATCATTATTTCCCTATTATCTTTCAGGCCTTCTTTACAGAAAAGGCTTTATTTTATATATTTGAAAAAATCATTAGTTATATCTACAATTTCTGACTAAATTTTTGACACCAGGAGGCACTGGAAGTTGGGCTGCTGAGTTCCAGGGTGGCATTATTAAACCCTTAGGAATTTATATTAATCAAACTTAGTGAAAGCTAAAATATAAACCAAAACATCAATTTGTTGATTTACTGGAAGAAATATAACTTCCTCAATTATGAGAATGGGGGCTGGGGGAAAGAGAGAGGGAGTTGAGTGAGCAGTAAGATATTTATAACTTTTCCTGGTCCTCTCCTATTTTACACTTGGAGGTTACATTTCTGTGAGATTAAAAGAAGTCTGAATTGAATAGCTCTGGAAGGACTTTTTAAATCTTGAATATCAACCTTGAATATCACAAGAAACTTCTGATACTTCTCAATAACACTAAGTTTTAAAAATCTGTATTAAGTGTTATTTTTTATCTACCATTTAATATATAGGGAGCTTTGGCACATGATTAAAGTATCAAAAAGTATAGCAGCGTAACAATGAAGAGTTTTTCCACTCAAGTCCCATAATCACCCACTTCCCTTCCCTAGGGAAAACCACCATTGTTCGTTTCTCCTTCATTCTTTCAGAGGTTTTTATGCATGCATGAGCAAATCGGGTATATTACAGTGAAATTGCCCTTTTCCCCACCTGTCTAGACAGTTTGGTTCATGTGCCTCTGAGGGCACAGAAATGTAAATGTTTTCCAGCTTCATTTTCTTATCTCATGAGGAGGGTAATACTAGCTCAGTACTCTGAATTGTCAAAGTACTTCTGTCACTAAGGATAATTTCCTCTCAAGCCTTCCAATTAAATACTATTTGCCTTATAGTCAATATTTTCATTTAATTTTTATGATGGCTGGGCCTCCCCAGTGGCGCGGTGGTTGAGCGCTGGGTGGCAAAGTTGCCTGCAGCCTCTGCAGCGCCGGTTCGATCCCCGGCTGCTCCCCGGCCACCGGAGGAGGGTCCCACATGGCGCGCAGACCTCTCCTGCCGCCCGCTGCTCCCCTCAGCAGTGTCCTTTGGTCCTTCTGCCTGCTCTGCTCCCGGCTCTGGCTTTGGTGAATTTTCTCACCCTCCCGTGCTTTTGACTGTACCCAGTGCTTGAATAAATAAATAAACAAACAAACAAACAAATAAATAAATAAATAAATCTTTAAAAAAATTTTTAATAATGGCTGAAATGAAGGTTTTAAGTTTATAATTTCTTTTTCCAAACACTGAATGACAGCAACAACAGATCACATAGTGCTATAGAAGTTAGACAAAGGGGGCCCCCCTGGCAGCACAAGGGGTTAAGTCTCAGCACTATGAAGCTATCCACAGCCACTGCAGCAGGAGTTCCATCCCCAGCCAGGTCACTGAGCCATGTGGCACAGCAGACCTCTCCTGTTTCGCCTGCTGCTCCCCTCAGCAGTGTATTTCAATCAATCTGCCTGTTCTGCCCCCCATTCTGTCTCTGGTAAATCCTCTCATCCCCATACCTTTGGCCTGCACCCCAGCTCTTATATGCATAAATAAATAAAATAAATCTTAAAAATAAAGAAGTTAGACAAAGGAGAGTGTGAATCCGAATGCTCCTGTGGACATGATTGGTAATTTCTCTCTGCAGATGAGCCCTCACGAATGCAAATATAATCAAAGTTCTACAGTAGGAAACCACAAAATAAATAATAAATATGATTAGAGAAAGAGATATAGTTCTCTCTGTGTAAAATCAAAATCAGAAACAAAAAATAAGTACAATCACAAGGGAAAAGATTAGGAAAAGTATTTGTAAAATCCATGGGGGAAAATTGATTCAGATTCTAACTCTGTGCAGGGAACATTTGTACTCATTGTCATGAGTGCTTACGATATTCTGAATAACTTTTTTTACAGTTGGGGAAAGTCAGGTTATGAGTCCAGCCTCCCCAGTGTTAAAGTGGAAGCTAAAATGCCCGTGTTCCCGTGCAGCTAGATATCAGACACAACAAACTGAGACCCTGACTCTGAAGAAAGCAAAACAGGGAATCAATTTTCAACTGTCACTGGTAATAGGCCAAATTCCTAGTACTTACCAAGACTTGAGGGGCCAAAGTCCAGAAAGAAAAGAGGTACAAAGAACTAAGAATAATACTGTGGCCCAGTTTTGCCTCAAAGAATTTGTTGTTTCTTAAGCTAAATCAGGTGAAAGTCTAAGATAATGAGGAGAACATGGCTGAAAATTCAAGAACAGCTTTGGGCAATATTATGGTGCTGAGGAGATAAAGCTGGATTTTAGGATCGGCCAAGGGGAAATGCCCTGGTATACACTCCAGTTTCTCAGTTGCAACCATACTTCTTGGATTTCAAAATCTCAATCTGGGACAATAGTTATAATAGAAATTAAAAAGAATTCCAATGCACTCAAAAATTTAATGGTGTTTGAATATGCACATTAATCTATTTTTTGAAAATTAATACCATCAGGAATTAATAATGGCCTGACCATAGGAGCAAGGTGCACTATGCTTAGGAGCAGTGTTCCATGAACACGAGTATAATAAGCGCTCTATGCCAGGTTGCTGATTAGTACAATGAAAGCATAGCTCAAATGCCATTAAGAAGGCATCTAGGGCCTCCCCAGGGGCACAGCGGTTGAGCGCTGCACTGCGAAGCTGTCTGCGGCCTCTGCAGAGCCAGTTTGATTCCCCACCGGCCAGGGAGAAACCCACATGGCGGGACAGACCTCTCCTGCCTCGCCCGCTGCTCCCCTCAGCAGTGTCTTCGGTCCGTCTGCCTGTTCTGCTCCCCGCTCTGTCTGTGGTGAATTATTGCGCCCTCCGACACTTCTGACCTGTATCCCAGTTCTTGTATAAATAAATAAATAAATCTTTTAAAAAAAGGCATCTAATCGTAAATCACATAAGATGGCAACTGTATTAAGGAAAAATTAGTGTGTCTTAGGAGATTGCTGAAATCTCCATTGTCTTCCCTTTATGATCAACTGTGTTCCACCCTCTTCTCAGTTTCTCAACTCACACCATAATATCTGGTAAATGATCCAGAGGTAATAATCATGATCCAATTGTCAGGCTGAAATCAATAACATTTCCTGTTAACTGGGATTTTGATCTCTCACATCCTGGCTGCCTGCCTATCTCTATGGCTTCCTGCAGATATGTTTTTGCTTTTAGAAATACCTTGCTTTTTCCTTTTATCTGGTTGTTCTGCTGCAAGTTATTCCATCATAGCCACATTAGATTTAATTTTAAATTTAGAGATCCCATATATAAGAATCACATAGTTTCTCGTCAGTCACATATTAGTGCTGTTTTACAATAAAACCTCAGTGAGACATATGAAAATCTTTCATTCTCGGGTTACTGCATTCTCAGGTTACTACAATGAACTTGGATATAACAAAGGAGATTCAAAGGATGAAAACTTATAGAAATCAGGAAATCTATTTAAGGCAATAGTTTGAAAATGACTCTAATGTTTTTAGTATAAATCATTACAAATTCCATAAGAAATAATTTTTTTGCCCATGTAAACATCTCACTTTATAAAACACTATGTGAGAGAAAAGAATTCATCCAGTGTCTCACACACATATGCCTGAAGATGTTTATAAAATAAATTTAAAAAAATGGGTTGACACTGACAAAGTTGTAAAGAGCATTCCTATACTAAAAAAGCTATTGCTTAAATTCTGATGAAATGAAAAAGAAATTGATAGACTGTAAAAGCTTAAGCTACTTTGATCTTTCATGAATGAATAATTTTATAGAAAGATGGCCATATTACTATACTCAGGCGGTCAAACAACTGATTTTTTTCCCTCTGTTTTCACAAGTAAAAAAGGAAAACAACAAGATAGCAACCAGATGGTAAAGAAAACAGGTCTAACAAGTTTCAGGTTAGCACTTAAATAACTTAGAATATAGGTTCAGCTGTTCTGACAGTCCTAAAATAACATGCTTTTAATTATATAGATCAGGAGTCAGCAAACTGTAGCCTGGAGGTCAATTCTGACGCACAGTCTGTTTTTGTAAATAAAGTTTTATTGGAACATAGCCACACCCATTCATTTACGAATAGTCAATGGCTGCTTCTGTCCCACAACAGCAGAATTAAGAGTTGTGACATAATGGTCTGCAAAGCACACAATATTTAACATCTGATCCTTTATGGAAAATATTTGTCAACGCCTGATACAGTCACTTCTGTTTTGTATAAACAGATGCACAATTATGATGGTTCTGCTCTGTAAAGTCTTGGAGGCTCAGGATCTTTCTGTCTCATCACTTTACCTTCCTGAATCACATAATACAAACTGGCTCACTGTGAGGCCCGTGTTACACTGCTGGGATGGGATCCTGTACATTCCAGTCAGTATTTACCTATAGCCTTATGAGTGAAGGACTTGGAGCTTAATTCCTCTTCTTATTTGCCATATCAACTTGGGCTACTCAACAACTCTGAAATACAGCTTCCTCATCTGAAAATGGGGATAATAATCTGTGTATGCTTTGTTGAA